AGATTCTCTCCTCTGCGACAAACACTTAAAACTTGCTAAGATTTTCATTTTTCCTCATTTTATTGAACTTCAAATAATTTGTTTCACGATCAAAATTGTGGTTTTTTCGAAGACTGTAGTCTCTCTCCTCTACAGCAAACACTTAAAAACTTGCCAACGTTTTTATTTTTCCTTATTTTACTGAACTTTAAATATTAAGGTTAGACGATGAATGTTAGGATTTCTTGAAGTTTTGTCGTCTGACCCTAATACTCAAAGTATAACAGAATGGCGGGGAAAGAAAATTTTAACAAATTGAGAAGATTACAAACACTGTATGTAATTTTGTAGTAATATTTTTAATGCATGACTGCACGATTTATAAAAATTCGAGAACAATCATACACGAAAGACTGTTCATATTGAAATTACAACATACACACGATCTTTAAAAGCGTTCACAGCAGAGAACTGTGTAGCTGCTGTTTATCTCTCGCAGTCGTTCAACTATGGTTACTCAAGCGATAAGGCTTGAGATAAGCACAGGAGCATGTGCCACAAATGCAACATGAATAAGGGAAAGTGATACAAAATAAAGAACTCGTATTCGAATTTCAACAAACGAAGACAATTCGACTGATCATTTTAACACTCTCGCGGCGCGATGATTTGAAATGACAGTCACACGTGTAAGGAATATTATTTTTGTATATGTCATATGAATAATTGTATAATTTTCGTTATTTATTATTGCAGAATTATAATCAAAGTTAATATTAACTTCTGTTTGGACAGAAGCACGATTGCATAAATCTATTTATTTGAATCGTTATTCAAATCACAGTGATTTATATGTAAAATATACTTTGATATACTTGAAATATACTTACAGTATACTTTCATATATTTAAATATACTTACAGTATACTTGAAATAGACTTAAATCTACTTACAGTATACCTTCATATACTTAAATATACTTATAGTATACTTGAAATAGACTTAAATCTACTTGCAGTATACTTTCATATACTTAAATATACTTACAGTATATCTTCATATACTTAAATATACTTACAGTATACTTGAAATAGACTTAAATCTA